GCTTGTAGCTTTGCTTGGTGGACATCCCATAGTCCTGCATCTCCAAAATGAGTTCCCCTTGGCAACTAAGGCTTCACCTTGACAGTTTTAATGAAACTGTCATTAAAGAGATCATTCTGGGTGATCTCTTTGCAGGGAGTATGACCCTACCACTTATTGCCTGGTTTCATGTCTTTCTGGAACTTTAGTATAAGCCTCCATTATGTAACTCATGCATTTTTTCCCAGGCATATAAAACCAGCACTGTGTGGATGACTATGCCAAGGTCTTGATGCCATAGTAAAAGGTAGTCTATCCCCCTTCTACCACAGCTGGGCTCCTTAGCAGCAAATGGCAGCCTGCCACAGGAGGTTATCCCCAATCATGGAATACCTTTAGTTGTATTCTAAGTGAAGTCTCCCTCTGTCCAACTGAATTTGAATTTTCACAAGTTAGAACTTTCTTTTAAAAAGATTTGTTTAGGGGCCTGAAAGATGGCTCAGTGGTTAAGAGCTCTGGCTGCTCTTTCAAAGCTCCTGAGTTCAATTCCCAGCAACCACATGGTGGCTCACAACTATCTATAATGGGATCTGATGTTCTTTTCTGACATCCAGGCATACATTCAGACAGAGAACTCATACAAAAATAATAATAAATTTTGCTTATGTATATGGCGGCTTTGTCTGCATATATGTCTGCAACCAGAAGATACATTGGATCCCGTGGAACTGAAGCTAGGATGTGAGTCACATGTGAATGCTGGGAATTGAACTCAAGACCTCTGAAAGAATCACCAGTGCTCTTAACTACAGAGCCATCTCTCCAGCCCACATTCAGCATCTTTGATAGGCCGGGGTCAAGGTACCTTTCCTATCATCTCAGTGTGAAAGGCAAGGTTTCTTCTTAACCGTACCAAACTCTCTGACAGTTATAGCTACTGTCTCTGCACCCTCCTCATCTGCAGCTTTTAACTCATTCACATTCCTTTCCTCACTAAATGGCACAGGTTTCTTTTCTTAAAGATATGTATGTATGTATGTATGTATGTATGTATGTATGTATGTACTAATAAGTACATGCTAGTCCTCCACCACTGAGACATACCTCCAACTCCCTATTACCTTAATGGAATGTTTGAGTTTTGTTCTTTTTCAGTACTACCATCAAACTCTTCAGAGGGAGATGTGATGACTGGAGCCTTGACTGTCATTTTGGTAGTATGATAACAGAATAATCACTGTTCTAAAAAGTGATTCCCCAAAAACCTACAGAAGAGAGATCTCCTCTATTAGCCACTTCCTGAATACCTCTGCGGTGCTTTGAAAGAAAAAGGCCCCAAAGGGAGTGGCACTATTGGAGATGTGGCCTTGTTGGAGTAGGTGTGGTTTTGTTGGAGGAAGTGTGTCTTTGTAGATGTGGACTTTGAAGTCTTCTATGCTCAAGCCACACCCAGTGAAACAGAAGTGAGACCACTTCCTGCTGCCTGCAAGTCAAGATGCATTAACTTGCAGCCCCTTCTCCAGCACCATGTCTGCCTGCACGTTGCCATGTCTCACCATGATGATAATGAACTAAACCTCTGAATTGCTAAGTGAGCCACCCCAAACAAATGTTTCCTTTATGAGAGTTGCCACAGTAGTCATGGTGTCTCTTCACAGCTACAGAAACTGTAAGACAACCTTCAAATATCTATCAGACAACATACTTTCATTGAGTGCATGTCACTGTTACAGTGTGGTATTTACTCTGAGGTGAAACTTACTTTCTATGCACTGTAAGCCTTCTCTGTTTTAGACTTTACAGAGATCATTCTTGTTTCCAATGAGCTCATGTTTCCCTGGATGTGAGCTGCCTCGGCTAGCAACAGTTGCACCTAAAGAAGTGATCACCTTGTATCACTTCTGGGAGCTTAAAGAATGGAGGCTCAGTTTCTGCTGGCTTACAATGTGGTCCTAGCCACACCCATGTGCATCCTCCTATACCAGGAGAGGTTTGCCTCAGTAATTTCTGAGCACCCTCTCTGACCACTGTTGTTCACACAAGTTGGGTCCTATGGTCCGTGCAGTAAAAGGAGGGGACACACAGTGTCATCATTGTGTGTTTTAATCCCTTTCCTGGATGGTACAGCTTTGCTCTGTCTCCAGGTGTCACAGTGGATGGAGAGCTAGGAATGGGGTGGGGTGGGCAACTGTGACATGGTCTCTTAACCTAACCCCTTTTATTGCACAGGGGAGAGGGCATGTGGGCTTTCTATTGTTTCCACAGTAGTTTGCTCCTGGGGTACGGTCAGAGGTGTGCACTCAGAATGGAGCAGGGCCACAGTCAACTTGTAAGCTATACATTTTCTTTCCACGAGCTTCCTGTTGTGTGTTTACTTATTTTTGTCTCTGAGCGCTTCTCTCCCCCCCCCGGCACAGCCCCCCCCCCCCGTCCTCACTACTTGCCATCTCTGTGGAGGTGAGCTTGTCCATTCACAGCTGCTCCCCAGCACAGGGCACAGTGAAAACTGGGGATGCCCAGTCTGTACAGGCGAAGCGACTGCATCACTGGCCCGGTGAAGGATCTCCATCTTGCATCCATCTCTAAACATGAGGCTTTCCCATCCAGGTCCCAACCTCCACTTTGAACATCACAGCAGCCTTCCAGGGGAATTCAAGAGTCGGTCTGCAAAGGAAGTGTCCTATTAGTGAGAACCAGACTTTAAAAAAAAAAATGCTGCCTTAGCTGGGTGGCGGCGGCGCACACCTTTAATCCTGCCCAGCACAGGAAGCAGAGGCAGGTGGATCCCTCAATTCAAGGCCAGCCTGGTCTACAGACTGAGGTCCAGGACAGCCAGGGATACACAGAGGAACCCTGTCTTGAAAAGCCAAGAAGAATGAAGTGGGAGGAGGGGAGGAAACGTGCTCCTTCCCAAATACTTGCTGAAACAGCTGCAGACAACGAGGCTTAGGGAAGGGCTGCACCTCAGACACCTTTGCTTCACGCATGCAGTCGGTACCCGAGAAAGATTTATCTCATGGATATGCAAAACCCTCCATAATGCCGAAGCATAGTTGTAAAGGGTAGGGAAGAAGGTATTTAAAAGAGAGGGTTGGGGTTATAAGGTGAATTAAAATTATATGGTCATTAAAATGTCTTGACAGCCTTTGGGCCAATTACTATGCAGTGAGCGGAAGGGGAAGGTAAGAGTTAGACACAAGCCACTGAGGCTATTTAAACTGATGTTAAATAGCATGTAAAAGTCATTTGCACCGGCTCCTCTCCTGTGTACAATAATACCCACGTGTGCCTGGGAGCGACTGCATTTGCACAGGGCAGGAAAAACACTTCACAGGGTTTTCTTCTGGATAAAGCTGCCCTGGTCCATGAGAATCATAGGGAGTGGGTTCCTGCTTCTAACCTGGCTTTCAGACAGACAGACACATACATGGATCCATACACACCTGCACATGCACCCCACCACAGGAGCGTGCCAGAATCCCTCATCTAACTCTAAATCAGTGGTTCTCACTTTCCCAAGGCTGTGACTCTTTACCACGGTTCCTCATGCTGTGGTGACCCCAACCATAAAATTATTTCCCTTGCTACTTCATAACTATCATTTTGCTACTATTGTGAATCATAATGTAAATAGCTGTGTTGTTTTCCGATGGACTTAGGTGACCCCTGTGAAAGGGTTGCCCACAGGTTGAGAACCACTGCTTTAGATTCCAGTCCATAGGGAACAACAGCCCCACACTACATCAGGTGGTACCCAGAAGTCAACAAGTACTTGTGAAAATAGTGACCTTGGTCCATTTGAAGGAAGTGTTAGAGGTTGAAAAGGAGAGCTGGGTAAAGGAGGTGTGATGATTGATTCTAATTGCCAGTCTCAATGTAGTATTGTCTAGGTCAGCTTGGCCTGTGAGCAGGTCTGGGGGTGGCCAGGATCATCTTGATTGACTTAAATGATGTGGGGAGATCCAGCCTGAGAGCGGGAGACACCATTCCTTGGTGTGATGATACAAAAGTAGAGTGTTCATTTCTCTCCGCTCCTGACTCTGACTGTGATGGTGACCAGCCCTCTGGAGCTCCTGCCTGTCACTTCCCTGCAGTGATGGGCTATGACCAGGAGCTGTGAGCTAAAATAAGTCCTTTCTTTCCTTCCCTAAGTTGTTTGTGGTCAGGGTATTTTTATCACAGCAACAGAAATGAAAACTAGGACTCCATGCTTCGTTTCTCTCTCCCAGTCTCACCCACGCTTCTGCTCCATCTCGGTTGTAAACCGTGCACCACTGGAAAAGCAGCCCCTAACCCCAAGCCCTGTAGGACTCCTCCAAAATAACCATCAGCTCCAGAAGCTAGGAATGGTGGCACAAGTGTGTGGTCCCAGACTGAGACTAAAGGAGCTCAGGATTCTGCCCTAGGATGGTGAGATGTGTCTCTTTGGGGAGGGGTAAGGACCTGAGACCAGAGAGATGGTTCAATGACCCAGTGCACTTACTGCTTTTGCAGAGGACCTGGGTTGAGTTCCGGACACTCCTATGACTGCTCATAACCATCCATAACTCCAGTCCCAGGGATCAGACGCTGGTACCAGTGTATATGCACGCAAGCAAAACACTCATACACGATGGATGGATGAATAGATAGATAGATAGATAGATAGATAGATAGATAGATAGATAGATCTGCTCCGGCATTCAAAACCATCTTCTTTTTAGCTGGTACTTTTGTGAGGACGCTAATGTCCACTCACACTCAGTTCCCTCAAGAGCCTGCACCTATTAGGCGCTCAGTAAGTATGTACTGGGTATGTACATGTACGGGGTATGAGTGTCTGAATGAATGAATGAGTGAGTGAGTGAGTGAGTGAGTGAGTGAGTGAGTGAGTGAGTGAGTGAGTGAGTGAGTGAGTGAGTGAGTGAGTGAGTGAGTGAGTGATATTCAACGCCCTGGTGCAGGAGGGCTCAGGGCGCAGCCAGTGAGCTAGGGGGTCTGGGAAGCTCGGCCCTCGGGGGCGTGTCCGTAGAGGAGACTGCGGAGCTCCGGCCCCGCGGAGGAGCCGGCGGCCAGCATGGAGAGCGAGCTGGAGGCGCTGGCCCAGCAGCCGGCGAGCCCCGCCAAGCTGCCCTTCCAGGCGCTGGTGGAAGCTGCGGGCGGCCGCGGGCAGGTGCTGCTGGTGGGCGAGCTGTGGGAGCGCGAGCAGAGCCGCGCGCTACTGCGGGACTTCTCTCGCTCCGTGTTCCCTCCGGAGACGGAGCCGGAGCCGGAGCCGGAGCCAGAACTGGACAAGCCGGGCAAGCAGGGCTGCGCAGAGTCCGAGCGCGCGTGCACCGCGGCGGTCACCGGGCCGCATCGGGCTCCGGGGGCGAAGGCAGCGCGCGCCATCCGCTCGCCGCTTGTCTTCGTGCTGTGCCGCTCCTCGTCGCTGGCCGCTCGGGAGCCGCGCCGCCGCCTGCGGGAGATGCTGCGGGATGTACGCTGCCGGCGGCGGCAGGGCGCCGCGCTGGTCGGTGTCCTGGTAGCGGACGCGGGAGCGGAGGACGCGGTGGCGCCGGAACTGCAGCTGCTGGAGACGCTACTGCGCACGGTGTTCGGCCGCCAAGTGGGGGGCCCGGTGCAGGCTGCCACCTTCCGCCCCGGCTCTCCGGCCTCCAGCCTGGCGGTCCAGGAGGCGGCCTGCAGGGCCCTGCAAGCTGCCGGGCCAGGTCGACCAGGTGAGGCTGCGCGGGATCGGGCTGGGTAAGGATGAAGGCGGCTGGGGAAGCCTTCAGTCTCTTTAGGCCAGTTGAACCCCAACTCTGTTGTGCACCGAGGTAAAATGAGGCCCGGAGTAACGCTATCCCTAGCACAAGACCTTACAGCCTAAAGTGATCTGGCTCTGGACAGGGAGTTGGGTCGATCAGGCCAGATCCCTACTTATAAGATGGGGCAAAAGGAGCCGAGGGTACAACTGGTCAGTAAATGATAGGGTTGGATTGCTCTGAACAAAAATGTAGGAGTTGGAGACTGGGGATAGGGGAAGAAGATGGAAATGTCTCGGGGTGCAAAAGTTTGGGTGGTGTGCGTGGGGGATGGTGAAGAACTGAGATGGAAAGGGGGGTGACGAGCTTTAGGACACGGTGCAGGCATGGTTGTCCCAGGAGTTTTGGGTGAGGGTGAGCTGCGCCGGGAGGCTCGGTGTGGCAGGGTGGAAGGCGGACACAGCTCCTGGCACAGACATGAAATCAGTGACCTGGTGTCCGGAAGGGTGCGAGGGACAGAGACCATGGTGACCTCAGTGATTCCTGGCTTCCCGCCTACGCTGCATGGTCACTGATAGCTGGCTGCCTCTGCCATGTGTGGTGGGGATCACCTTTCCCTTCCACACTCTCCTAAAGTGTAGAGACGGGTGTGAGAACGTCACCCAGCCGGGGACTTCCATCACAGACGGGTCAGATGCCCCAGCGCAGCAGCTTGTGGGGTTAAAACGTGGACTGTCAGTGAAGCTGGGTCAGACACTGGGCGATCTTTGCACTACTCAACTCCCTACTGACTCTTTACCTTAGGGAGCTTCTGAGTTAATGTGTGGTTGGGTGGGGCGTTCCGGGCATCTGCTATTGGCCATTAGCCAGCCACTGGGAGACGTCAGACCTTTCTTATCGGGTAGACACTATCTGCTGTTCCAAACGTCACACTTGCACCTGCCAGCCTGTCAAATGTATTTCTTTCACTGGAGGCTCTCCTAGCCTCCCCCCAATTTCTCTTCTTTAGAGGCTGAACAACCTCCAGCACCCTGAAAAGGGAAGGGAAATAAGTACCCCATATATTCTTGTTCTGATAATGTTGGATTCTTACCTGGCCTTGGGGAAAGAAGGAAATTCACACAACTTCTCCCCAGGCTAATGAGCTGGCACCTAGAAAACTCGCCAAGCCTTCCTTCTCTTAGCTCTCCTTTCCCCAGACACACCTCATTCTGGCTGTGGTTTTGTGAGCACAGCTGTCACCCAGCCCCGAAAGTCCCCTCTCTTCTTTCTGTAGCTCACTCCACCCTTCCATTCAGGACTGGCCCTCTTCCCTCAGGTAGCCTTTTGAAAAACCCACACACTCGCTCCTGTTTGTAAAGTCACTAGTGACACTTCAGAACCTTTGGTCTTTGACTGTCCCAGCAATGACCACATGGTTTTGTCACTGTTCGCTTGTTAGTTTAACAACCCCAGGATTCCCATTCCTAACTCCCTGCCTGGCACTCAAGATGGACAACCAAATCCTTGCTTTGACATAACATTAACGCTCTGGAAAATGGGACGTTAGCAGATGTATAACAAACGCGTAGAAAAACAAAAACTTTCTCTAGTGAGTCAAGGTTATGAGTTAATTATAACTCCTTGTGTATCCATTTCTTTGCAGCTTTTGCAATAGTTCTTGGAAGTCAGGCATGGTAACCCATACCTTTAATCCTAGCACCTAGTAGGCAGAGGCAGACAGATCTCCGTGAGTTCCAGGCCAGCCAGGGCTAAGAAATGAGACCCTGTCTCAAAAACAAAACATTTAATCTATTGGTGTTTAGAGATAGTTTGGAGCAAGGCACAGTGATGCATCTCTGTAATCACAGCTTTCAGGAGGCTGAAACAGGAGGATAGAAAAAGTTCATGGTCAACCTAGGCTACATAGTGAAATCCTGTCTCAAAAATAAATGGATGGATGGATGGACAAACAAATGAAGTGAGGTAGGAAGTGAGGAAGAAGGGAGAGTTTGGATAAAACTGAAGGGGAAATGACTGCTCTCTGGGTATTCACTCACTGGCATGCCATTGCGATTGGCTTCATGTCATCTTGTGGTAAGGTTTCCCCAGCATGTGCACATGGCACAGAAATTTATGAGCCTGAAATGCGATAGCCAGACAGATGGAAGCAGGGCAGACAGTAGAGTGGAAACTCTTGGGTCGTTGAAGAAACTCTCTTGGTTTTGAAGCAGGCACTAGCTGACCTCTGCCTTGGGGGTTTGGACTCTTTCTAGCAGAAAGTGCCTGGGAGAGACCCGGCCTCCCTGGCCTACTGACTTGCTTTTCCTGGGGTCCTCGGAACCAGAGGAAGAACCGAGGAGACGCCACCTCCTCCCGAGGCCCAGCTGGAGGTAGGTATACTGGCTGCCCGAATCCTGAGTGAGTACAGAGGCCTTGGGGACACACTTTCTCCATGCTGAGAAGAGCAGGAGCACTGAGTGCCTGTCCCTTCCTTCCAAGTAGGGCTCAGGCTGGGTCAGGCAGAGTCCCTGCCCTAAGAATTCTCCAACCTGGTGAAGACATGGAGAGAACTGTAGGACAGGAATTCCACATCCACAGGGCAGGCCAGGGTCCCCTGAAGAACCATGGATGTTAAGGAACTAGTGTTGTCTGAGTGCCCTGAGAAAAGGTGACCAGCAGCTATCATATTCAGAAAAGGAAGAGCCCTCAGAGGTCCTCAGGGCTGAGGTGCAGATGGCAATGGAAGGCCTTGAAGTGGAGAGCTGGGTCACATGGGGGCCAGGATGCCCTTCAGGGACACAGGGTCTTAGACACAAGCAGAAAGATGGCAGCCTGTGGAAACACAGAGAGAGATTAGAGGCAGATTTTAGCTGGAGGGGACCACAGCAGCCCCTGGAGGGATATTGGGTGACCTGGACCCACAAAGGCTGTGAGTAACTCACTCTGAGTGGTTTCCATGGTGGAGCCATCTTGCTGATAAATGGAGGTAAGGAAAAGAGTAGGAGCCAAACAATGAGTGGTGGTGTAAAAGAAGCTTTTATTGTGTCCCTTATTAAAACTGACCATTCAGTGACCGAGGGGCCTTCTTTCACTGCCTGATAACTTGCTACACAGTGGGTTAAAAGAGCACACAGTGGACTAGCAGGATGGCTCAGTGGGTAAAGGTGCTTGCCACCAAGACTGAAGACCTGAGTGTGTGTGTGTGTGTGTGTGTGTGTGTGTGTAATTTTATACAACATCTTTTATTTTATACAAAGCAAGACACCTATTTGTGATTCTGGGAGAGGGACCTACAACCTCACTCTGAGCTACATGCACAACATTTTGTTGTTGTTTTATTTGGTTTGTTTTAAGAATATTCTTTATGTGTTCCTTGACAATTTTAGACGTGTTGTTTTGTTTGGGAGATAGGGTTTCATATATTATAGGTTGGCTTTGAACTCACAGTATTTCCAAGTATGACCTTGAACTTCCGATCGGTTTGCCTTCACCTTGAAAGTAATGGGATTACAGGCAGGCACCGTCAGTTGACGTGGAGCTGGGGACTGCACCTAGGACTTATGTGTGCTAGTCAAGCATCCTACCAACCGAGCTACGTCCCCAGCCCAGTCTTAATGCAGAGCCCCATACGTAGAGACCCTAGGTTGTTTGCCTTGTGCCTCCTCTGAATGCTGAGGATCAGTTGGTGGGGAAGCCAAGACTCAACCAGCATAATCTGGAAGGAAACTCATCATCTCTCATAAAAATGGTGGTGTCCGCTTTAGAGTTGGTCAGCATTGGCCCAGGAGCTCACAGTCCCCATCACGGACCTGGGATTTTTCTTTCTCTCCACTGGCCCTGGGTTTCATCCTGAGACTGGTAATGAGATGGTGGCAGGAGCACAGTGATCACTCCCAAGTATGTCCTTGCTTAAACACCTAAAAGTGGGCTTGCGGGGTCAAAGGGGGTGCGCCCTTTTTTTTTTGTTTGTTTGTTTTTTTTGTTTTTCGAGACAGGGTTTCTCTGTATTGTTTTGGAGGCTGTCCTGGAACTTACTCTGTAGACCAGACTGGCCTTGAACTCACAGAGATCCGCCTGCCTCTGCCTCCTGAGTGCTGGGATTAAAGGTGTGTGCCACCAACGCCTGGCAGGGGTGGGCCTTTTTAAAAAATGCTTCTAGACCAGTATTTTGCTTGACTTTTTACATTTCTGATGTGTACGCACCATGGTGTGCACATGGAGGTCACGGGACAGTTTGAGGGGGTTGGTTTTCTATTTCTACCACACGGGTCCTGCCTGGGACTCAAACCTGGGTTGTCAGGTTTGGCAGCAAAAACTTTAACCTACTGAGCCATCCAACCAGAACTTTTGGGCCAACTTCTTCCCTTTAAGTGCTTGGATATTGACTCATAAACTTGACCTTTTCGTTCTCGAATGTTCCAGAACACCTCCACGCCTCAGAGGAGGAGCTTGCACTGACAGCCATATTTCCCAATGGAGACTGTGAAGACCGTGGGAGTGACTCTAGAGCCCAGGATGGAGTTGTCCACATGCCACCTGGGCCCTTAAAGGACGCAAGATGAAGGCTGGACCCGTGGACTGGCCCTAACGGGCATACTGCACACTGGGGTCTGGACCTTCTCAGTGAGTCTCCGTGTCACAGTGTTGACCTCAGCAGATGGTGACTGACTCTAAAGATCCCACTTGCTTGGGGGCTGCTGCTTTCATGGTTGCCAGCTAGGCAGCAAGGCCTGTGGGACCTGCTCCACACTTAGGGTTTTTTTTTTTCAAGGTGTGGTGATCTTGTATCTCTGTGCCTTCATTTCTCTGAGCCAAGGAGATGCTGTACCGCTTTGCAGACATGTCACTCAGTGTCTGGGGCTTCTGTTTCCGAAATGATTGAGGGGGCTCCCAGCCCAATGGTTTTCCACCCAGGGATAGGCTGCACCTCCAGGCAACACTGGAAACTTGTGTGGGGACAATTAGTGGGCATCTCACAGTGTGTAGGATGGCCCAACCACAAATAATTGGTTTACTCTGAATACCAGTTGTGACAGTTTTGGGAAATGAAAGAGCCAATCCCTTCTCCCTGTCCTTCTGTGAAGAGATCCCCTTAGGTTTCCTAGGACCTTGACTCCCAGAACAAGCCAAAATAAAGACCTGACTGTTACTGTGAGGGGGCCTGCCAGGCCAGAGCCAAGACAGTTTGTGTGTTACAGAGCCAGGACCAAAAGCACCTTGCATTCTGTGAGGAAAAAAAGGGCCTCTGTCTTCCTCATGTGGACACTGATTACTGTGCCAAATCCTTTGCAGAAAGGTTTGCTGGGAGTTGCCTGTAGCACCACGGATAGGGAAAGCCAGAGTGCTGGGGTATTCATTCCCCTGACTTGTACTAGATCTCAGGTCCTAGCCCAAATATTCTGGAATCTTCCCTCAGAGTCTTTGAGTCACATAGAGTGGTTATGTTCTCCACAGAGCCTGCCAGGCCATCTATTCGTGCAGAAACAACTGGGAGTTACCTCTCGTCCCTGCTTTTCCTGGAGGGGAAGGGCCCTCTTGGTTTTCCCTGATGTGAGAAAAGCTCTCAGAGAGAAGTGGATAGACCCATACATTCATCTGTGTTCTGCTCTGCAGATACCCAACTGTGCTGGGCTTTGCATAGCTCCCTGTGAGGAGCTACAACCCTTGGAGTCCTAACTTCAACTCTTTCTGTGACAGTACAGAGGGAGGTGAGCCTCCCTGCTCTATGCCTGATTTCTTCTTGATCATCCACAGCCTGATCCTACCTCTCAGAGAGTGTGGTGTGGAGAGATGGCATCTTCCTGGTGTGAGGTGGAAGCAGACATCATTTTAATAACACAAGGTTGAAGGGTAAGAAGGTAGTGGCACACGCCTTTAATCCCAGCACTTGGGAGAGAGAGGCAGGCGGATCTCAGTGGTTCAAGGCCAGCCTGGTCTACAAAGTGAGTTCCAGGAGAGCCAGGACTCTTCCATAATGAAACCCTGTCTCAAAACAACAACAACAAAATACAAGGTTGTCCCACGGGAAATGGTCCCAAGTGGAATATTTTATTCAAGTATGAACTAGAGGTTGGGAGGGGGGTAGTTCAGTTAGTGGAGGGAATTATTTTGACTTGATTTTGTTTTTAAATGGGGAGAGTGGTGTATTTGAAGCTGCTACATCTCTGTTACGATATTGACCTATGCAGTCCTATGTAATATTTCAGTGTGATTTTTATTATTCCATCAAAGAAAGGGACTTGAAGTTTAAGTTTGTCTAAGACAGAAGTTACAGGGTTAAAAATCTTTTGTATTTGCTACACATGTTTGAAACTTAGGGAATGGCACGTTTAAATCAGTGGAGTTTCCTGAGGGAAGATGTACCTTCCTCTCCAGCCCCTACTTGGAGCCCCATCTGTATGTGAATGTATGTGAATTCACCAGAGTCAGAAATAAAGGATATCAAAGATTTATTAGGGAACACTCACGAATGACAACAAGGTAGAGAGTGGGCATTCTGTCCTCCTGCCCTGGGGTGAATGGGAGCAGCAATCTGATCTCCACACAAGAGAGAGTGAGCCTGCCCCCTCTTTCTTTAAGAAGTTATGAAGCTCCACCTCTGTGGTGCCAGATAGCCCAAGGTCATGGACCAGCTGAATACTCACTACACCCATCCCTGCTGCACCTCACTCATAGTACCGTTTGAGTTTGTAGCCTCTGGTCTACACAACATTTGTGTTAGTTGTTATGCTTTGAGTTGCCTGTTGTGTCTTGTATCTGGGTGAAAGGTCTTTGTACTGAGTCTGGGTTCTGCTTCCCAGCTGGTAAGCAGACACAGCAAACAGCGTCCTGCCGTCTGTCTTAGTACTGTTTCGCTGCAGACAGAAAGACTTGGGTTTCACTAGGGATGATCTTGTGGGTCCCTCCCAAAGGAAGGAATGAAGGCTGGAGTGGCCTAAGGAAGGCTGGAGACCTGGAGGAAGCCAGAAGTTCCTGGGAGCCACGTGTGAGGAACTGCCCCCAAACTTCACTGGGGTTCTAACCTGCAATGGGAGGGTAGTTCCCCCGCTTTTGGCTTCAGTTCTGGCTCCTTATATCTAATAAACCAAACAGTGCCTCACTGGTATCTAGTAGAAACAGAATGGGTCTCCCTTTTCTTCTCTCACACAGCCCTCACTGGCCCCTCGGGAGGGAGTCTGAGCAAGTGAGACACTCCTGAAAGTCCTCAGTTGATTTCTCCACAGCCCCCTGCCTGGAAATGGAAAATGAGTGTCTGGGAAGGAGAAGCAGGTATTAGATAGAATTATCTGGTTTTTTTGTTTTTTTTTTTTTTACTTCTTACTTATCAGGGAACTCATACACGCCACAGCACATGTATGGAGGCCAGGACAACTTGTGGGAGTCAGTTTCTTCCTCCATGTGAACCTGGGGGAATCAAACTTAGGTCATCCCATTTGTCAGCAAAACACCTTTACCCACTAAGCTATTTTACAGTCCCACAAGTAAATGTTTAAAAGGAGACTCTTTTTAAAGATAGCATGTGCTTTGACATATGATAGAGGGTGTGGACATGTATGCGTATGTGTTTTTAACCAGAGCTAACCCAGGCCTTCATTGGCATTCAGGCAAACCTTTGTAAGATGTGTGTCATAGTTTCTCTCCTGTTCAAGTGTTTGCCTCCAAAGAGTTCCTGGCTTATCAAACCAAATCTTCAGGAAAGCCTGTAAAGGAACTAAATGTGGAGTCCCTGGGCCTACAATGTCAGTGAGCACCTCTTTTTCTGCTAGAAACAAGGACCAAACTTCAGCAGGATGGTAATGACCACTGTTCACTGACCTCTGAAGATGTGAAGGTGGTCCATGCTTTAAAAGGCCAATGACAGCTCACCAGTAGTGACACACACCTTTAATCCCAGCACTTAGTAGGCAGAGGCAGGTGGATCTCTGAGTTCGAGGCCAGCCTGTGAGTTTCAGGACAGCCAGGGCTACACAGAGAAAACTTGTCTAAAAAGAAATCAAAAAACAAAAACAAAAACAAAAAAACAAAACCAGCCAGTGACAAGGTAGGGCTTGCTTCATAGGGACAGGTAACCTGGACTTTGTCCTGTTTGCATGGCAAACAGAGCCTGCCCTATGTGTAAGTGGGGGAAGCTGGCTTTATTGAGGGCTGCACCAGCACTCTGACCTGTTTTTGTGAGTTAGTGGATCAAGCATTGGGACAGAGGTGGATTTAGCCAGGATAGCCTGCTGCTTGTACAACCTTGGTGCTGGGTTAGGGGAGGGTGGGGTACAGGACCACTGGGAATCTCTGCTCATCCTTATCTGCCTTCTACCTTGAGCCTGAGTCTTCTGCTAGTCTTACACACAGGGCTGCAGCTGGAGAAGAGCCTGGCCTGCGGGACACCCTGGTTCCTAGGTCACAGGAAGTGCTTGGGACGAGAGTGGGAGGGGAGAACAGGGTGCTGGGGAGGGTCACACCCTGGGGGTGACTTTGGGAAGGATGAGAACCCTGTCTACTTGCTTCTCTGGGCTCTCTAGTCATGACTCCTACCCAACATGTTTAGCAGGGCACAGAGCGCCCTGCTTAGTCCTTGTGATCAAGCCCTGGCTTTGACATCTAGCTGCAAGAACTGTGTCTGTCTCTGTCTTGGTTAAGGTTTCTATTGCTGTGAAGAGACACCATGACCACGGCCACTCTTATAAAGAAAACACTTAATTGGGGTGGCTCGCTTACAGTTTCAGAGGTTCAGTCCATTATCGTCATGATGGGGAGCATGGCGGCGTGCAGGCAGAGCTGGAGCTGAGAGCCTACATCGTGCAGGCAACAGGAAGAAGCTGACATAGACACTGGGCAGTGTGCTGAGGATAAGAAACCTCAAAGACATTCCCACAGTGTCACACTTCCTCCAACAAGGCCATACCCACTCCAACAAAGACACACCTCCTAATAGTGTCACTCCCAATGAGATTATGGGGGCCAGTTACATTCAAACTACCACAGTCTCTTGGCCCGAGGTTCCCTCTTCTCCCCATTACCAGTGAAGGGGTCTCAAGATGAGTGCCGCTTGCAACATTACTCTTCTTGCATGCCAGCTTCCGTGGGGACAGCTACTCTCAGCTCCTTGATCCCCAACAAGACGGTGTCTCCCCTTCAGCCTACCCAGATCCAGATAGCAGGGACAGCTCCAGAAGGTAGACAAGGCCCTGGAGGGCCATGAATTGGAGGGCTTAAGAGAAATCTATGGCAAGCACATGTGAAACTCCAGTTTTCTAGTAGCCACCTTGGGGAAAGGGGCAAAGAAACAGGTAAGGTTAATTTTAACCACGAGCACTTTTTTTCTTTTTCATTTGTTTGTTTGGTTCTGTTTTGTCTTTTGAGACAGAGTCTCACTGGTTAACTCTTTCTGGCCTAGAACTTACTATATAGGCTAGGCTGGCTTCAAACTCATGGAGACCTACCTTCCTCTGCCTTCTAAGTACTGAGAATAAAGGCATGAGCCGCCACATGCAGCTTAATATACTTTAAAAACACTTTTGTTAAAGTTCATGTGTATGTGTGTGTGTGTCTGAGAGGCAGTGTGTGTGTCTGAGATGCTCAATGTGTGTGTCTGAGATGCAGTGTGTGTGTCTGAGATGCAGTGTGTGTGTCTGAGATGCTCAGTGTGTGTGTCTGAGATGCAGTGTGTGTGTCTGAGATGCTCAGTGTGTGTCTGAGATGCAGTGTGTGTGTCTGAGATGCTCAATGTGTGTGTCTGAGATGCAGTGTGTGTGTCTGAGATGCAGTGTGTGTGTCTGAGATGCTCAGTGTGTGTGTCTGAGATGCTCAGTGTGTGTCTGAGATGCTGTGTGTGTGTCTGAGATGCAGTGTGTGTGTCTGAGATGCAGTGTGTGTATCTGAGATGCTCAGTGTGTGTGTCTGAGATGCAGTGTGTGTGTCTGAGATGCTCAGTGTGTGTGTCTGAGATGCTCAGTGTGTGTCTGAGATGCTCAGTGTGTGTATCTGAGATGCTCAGGGTGTGTGTCTGAGATGCATAGTGTGTGTGTCTGAGATGCTCGGTGTGTGTGTCTGAGATTCACGGTGTGTGTCTGAGATTCACAGTGTGTGTGTCTGAGATTCACAGTGTGTGTGTCTGAGATTCACAGTGTGTGTGTCTGAGATGCTCAGGGTGTGTGTCTGAGATGCTCGGTGTGTGTGCAGGAGCCCATGGAAGTCAGAAGAGGCGTTGTATCCCTAGGAACTGAAATTACTGATGGTTGTAAATTGCTGTGTGGGCACTGGGAATTGAACCCAGGTCTTCTTCAAGAGCAGTAAATGCTCTTAACTGCCGAATCATCTTTCCAGCCCTTCATTTTAATTACAGGATCTCTTGTGTGCCAGGCTATCCTTCAATTTGTAGTTGAGGATGACCTTGAATGAACGTCTACCACCCTAGTCCTGGGATTATAATGTGTGCCACCACACCTGATTTCTCTCTCTCTCTCTCTCTCTCTCTCTCTCTCTCTCTCTCTCTCTCTCTGTCTCTCTCTCTCTCTCTCTCTCTCTCTGTCTCTGTCTCTGTCTCTGTCTCTCTCTCTCTCTCTCTCTCACACACACACACACACAAACACACAGAGTCCAGAAGAGGACATGGATACACCCTTTCTCATTTTCCATCTCATTCCCTAAGACAAGGTCTTTAATGGAACCTGGAACTCACTAGCTTTCTCCTAGGCTGGTGGACAGCAAGTCCTAATGACTCTCCTATCTCCTTACCCCCTCCTAGGGCTAAGGTAACATGTATGTGTGGCCATGCTTGGATTTTTTGCCTTTTTGAGACAGGGTTTCTCTGTGGCTTTGGAGGCTTCCTAGAACTAGCTCTTGTAGACCAGGCTGATCTCGAACTCACAGAGATCTGCCTGCCTCTGCCTCCCAAGTGCTGGGATTAAAGGTGTGGGCCACCACCGCCTGGTTCCGTGCTTGGATTTTTATGTGGGTACTAGGGATACGAACTCCGGTCATCGTGCTTGGACAGCAGGCTCTCTTACCCACTGAACCATCCCTCTAGCCTCACACCTGATTTTAGACAATGCTGGGGATCAAACCTAGGGCTTTGCACATGCTAGGCACACATACTACTAACAGAATTGCACCCACACCCCATATATATTTTACTAAGACCAAAGTGTATTTCAGCAAATGATTAGTAAAGCATTTTTACACTTTTAAAAGCAAATTCTCACTGTTTAACCCAAGCTAGCCTTGAACTGGACTGTGTAGCTCAGGCTGGCTTTGGAATCATGATGCTCCTGCCTCTGCCTTCCAAGCACTGGCATTACAAGTGTGAGCGCCTGCTTTGTCCACACGGCATTTTCCATCCCATTTTGCCAATTCACGGAACCCAGCGAGATGGCTCAGCAAGTAAAAGTGACCACTGCCAAGCCTCAGGGCCTGAGGCGGATCCCTGCAGCCTACATGGTAGAAAGAGAGAACCCGAGGCTAGAGAGACGGCTGAGCAGGGAAGAGCACTTGCGGCCCTCATAGAAGACCCTGGATCAGTTCCCAGCACACACTGATGACTCACAACCATCCGTAACTCCAGTCCCAGAGAATCTGATGCCTTCTTATGACCTCTTCTAGAACCAGACAGATGTGTGGCACACACACATACATGCGTACAGGCAAAACACTCTACACATGAAATAAGATAACTATTTAACATATGTATTTATTTTCAGAGAGAGAACTGGCTCCTGCAAGTCACCCTCTGATTTCTCATGCATACCACAGCACTAAAAACGCTTGATTTGTAGTTAGAGCCCATTAAATTTAGTCATAAGAATATTCACAGCCTCAAATCTGTGAAGCTTTTCAGTAACTGAATTAGGTATTTGTTCAATTGGAAAAAATGCAATGAATTAAAATTAATTTTACATACCAGTTGATTACATTAAATCAATAAGTTTTCTACTTCAATATAAAAATTTAATGTCAACCAGGTGTTGGTGCACGCCTTTAATCCCAGCACTCGGGAGGCAGAGGCAGGCGTATCTCTGTGGGTTCGAGGCTAGCCTGGTCTACAGAGGGAGTTCCAGGACAGCCTCCAAAACAATACAGAGAAATCCTGTCTCGAAATACTAATAATAATAATTTAATGTCAACT